CTTCAGTGGTAGAGGGATGCATGCAATTTATGCCTAACCGCAAGGCACCAGGCCCAGATCACATCAGAGCAGAAATGTTGAAAGTAATTCGACCACAAATTGCTCCACTACTCTCACTCTTGTTCACCATCTGTTGGCAATGGTCATATGTACCTGTTATTTGGCGTCAGGCTCAAGTTTTTCCCATTTACAAAAAGGGAGATCCATCAATTGCTGCTAACTATCGACCTATTTCACTAACTTCTGTTGTGCGGAAACTGATGGAAATGTGTATTTCTCCAGTGCTTCACAAGTTTTCCCCTCCTCTGGATGTTGCTCAGGGTGGTTTCCGTCCTAGACGTGGTGCCATGGACCAAGCTCTCTGTCTGCATGACCTCATGAAAGCACACTTCCACCGCCATCACCATTATCCTGTTGTTGCATTCTTAGACATAAAGGCAGCTTATGATACAGTAGACCGACGAGTCATTTGGGATGCTCTTGCTAGACGTCACACACCACCAGCTTTACTTGGACTTCTTGTCAATATGTTTGATAATGTCTCTATATCTGTTCTTCTTGGCAACTTCTCTTCTCATTCTTTTTCTCCCACCACAGGTGTCCTTCAAGGTTCCGTTCTCAGTCCACATTTGTATTCAATCTATATCAACTCCCTGCCACCAATACTCCGCACAGTTGCATCACCACTCACCTCAACACATATTCCATCAACCTCTCCTTCCTCATTGGATGCTTACAATTCTCTTCTTGCCCCATCAGATGCAAATGACTTTCAACACATTCACTTGCCTACTGCCATTAACAGTCTTCTTTTTGCTGATGATGTTGCCATCTTTGGCTCTGCCACTGATGTTCAGAGTATGCTTGATCTTGCTGCCCAACACTCCTTCCAGCTTGGCTACCGTTGGAGTCCTTCAAAATGTGCTGTACTCTATCCTCCTTCACGATCTTTACCACGTTCTACTATCTCTCTGTATGGCGAGTTGCTTCCTGCAGTAAATGAGTTTATATACTTGGGTATACCTTTCTGTAACAAAGGCATCTTTGGACCGTCTGTTGTCACTCATCGTCGTTCTGGAGCATTGGCTGCTATGGCAACTCTTACTGCTGTTGGTGCATGTAGATCTGGTTTCAGTTTGCTCTTAAGTTCACGTCTGTTCAAAACCTTTATACGACCAAAATTCGAGTATGGTCTTGCAATCACATGTCTTTTGCAAAAAGATGTTTTACTTCTAGAGAAAATTCAAGATAAATGCTTGCGAATGATTGTTGGTGGCCATGCAACTTCATCTACTGCAGTCTTGAAACATATCTGCAACCTGCCCAGTATGGCTTTTCGCGTTGACATTCTCAAAACAAAATTTTGTCTTCGGGCACACACTCTTCCTTCTGGTTGTCTTCTCTCTCTGCTCCATTCTCATCATCTCCAAGCATCAACACTATCCACTCTTCACACAAACCCTCTTTTTGCCAGCATTCCCCCTGATCTTAATTGCTCCAGCCGCATAAAACTATCCAAGCACTTTGAGTCTTTTAGACAAGAAAAGTTTGCTCACTTTCATCTCACCAACACTAAGATTCTCATCCAAGCTTGCCGCCCTCTTCTTGAAGTTGATCCTGTATTGTTTCTTTCTGCTACACACATAGAACGTGGCCGTCTAGTACGTTGGAGAATGGGCTGGTTGCCTGGTAAGCCAAAGGAGTGTGCATGTGGCTTTGATCATACTTCAAGACGCCATCTCCAATTCTGCATCACAATCCCATCTCAGCTGTTCTCTCAACTTCCAGCACCACCCACAGATGAAGACAACATCATTGACTTTGCTATATCAGCACTACCAATCTCGTCTACACATCCAAGCCCTCTATATTGGAAAGCTCTTCTTACAATACTATGGCATATTGACATGCTATGCAATCCTAATGGCAACTACACACATGAAACCGATCATGGTTCTCTCTGGCACTAGCTCTAATAATTTAATATCTGTTTTCTTTTACTTCTTTTCTTCTTATTTTTGTCTTCTCATTCATGAAAGGTTTCTAGATCTGCAATTCTGTCTCCTCCCTTTCACTGTTACAACTTTTTACACAGCTGCAAAGTGGAGAGCAGGTTCAGTCTTTTAGCTTAGTATTGTTTATTTCTCTTCTTCTATTCATTTTTTTGTCTTTTGTGATCCTTTTGGACTTTTTTTTTTCTTTTTCTTTTGTACTTGGGAGGCTATATGATCTATAGATCGCCAGCGATATCTCCTTAATAAAAATAATCTTTAACCTGAGCCAAGAAGGCACTGCTCTTTCGCTTAAGCATTGTATTTACCTGGTTCTACAATTTTATTTTTGACGAATCCACATATAAAGTGTATCCATCCATCAACATCTTTACGCAAAACGATCCATCCATCACGAAAAACGTACCTCCCATTGCCAAAAGTAGTGCAGTCCTTGTCCTTGGTATCCCAGCTGTCAGCAAAAAAAATTTCAGCTCAATCAGACAACATCACGCCATCTGCATTCTCAATCCCAATGGCCAATTTGCAAATCGGCAACATTCAGGGATTGCCAACCGAGCTTACCTCATTCCTGACAACATTGCAGGCACAAATCATGAATGTGCAAAACAGAACCGACCAGTTGGAGCGACTTGCAGCAGAGAATGCAAGACTAACTACTGAATTAGAGCATGCTAGAACAACAATTGCTAATCTGCAGAAGCAATTAGGATCTCAGAGTGCACCTGAAAAAAACTTTTCAGAAATTTCACTTTCGAACCCAGCCGGCGCAGTAGGTGCTCCTGACAAAAACAAAGAACCAGGTCTGGAAGCCTCCACTTGGGCTAGTAAAGCCAGTGTTTCTCTTCCTGTAACTGCCCCAAAAATGTCTACTGTTCCCTCTGCTCGCCGTATTGCAGCTTCTGTTCGTATGTTTGCTCTTCCCTCTGGTCCTTCAGGTTATGAATATGTTTATATTCCAAGATCAAGACGCCTTAAGCACAAAGAAGTCCGTTCCTCTCTCCGCACTCTTGGTGTGGATTCTTCTCGACTTTTGGACATTAACTTCCCAGCCAGAGGTGTCATTGGCATCCTTGTTCATGTCCAGTATGCTGATACATTTAAGGCCAAACTGACAACTGCTTCTGTTGAGATTTTGGACGCATTTGATCCACTTGATCCTGATAATGTTGCTGATCCCAAGTATGCATCTCTGTCCACTCATGAACTTGCCAACACTGCTGCCATGCTTCACCATGATAGATGTCTCCAAGCCCTACAGTTCTTGCGCCCACACGTTGCTATCCCAGTTGGTCACTTCTTTTGTGAGGAAGGGTGGATCAGTGAAGATGAAATACCAACACGTACTACTCTTACCAATGCTACTGGCGGGTCTTTGTTCAAACGTCAGCGCAGCTCATCAGTCACTATGTCTGAATGAGTAATCTCAATATCGGATTATGGAATGCCAATGGCCTGCAACCCAGAGCCATTCAAGATACCCTTCAACACTGTCAGTCCTTACATATGCTCTTCATTACAGAAACATGGCTTCTCTCTCCCTCACATCTTC